GGGGGTGCTGACAGCTCTCCTTGACTTCGTCGTCCTCATATCAGCTCGCGTGGCACATGCGAGCCCTCTGTCTGTTTCAACTGCCGCTGCTCATCTCTTCCTCTGCCGCCTCCAGCCTCATACGATTCCTGCATGCCAAAACGCCTCTGGAAAAAAAAAAAAAAAAAAGGAAAGAAAAACACAAGGCAGGTCAGCAGGTCATGGCTTTACATAACCTCCTGTCTTAACCGTCGTCTGCTGCCTGACTTCTTAATAGCAGTTGTCTCATTATTCTTCAAGACAGACTCCAGCCTGCTGCTTCAACAAATAATAGTATTAGTCAAGAGAGGCAGCTTTCAGATTTCTTGGTTTACCATTTATCAATTCACAAGCTGTCCATAGCTGTTTCTATTACAGTATCATGTAGTTGCAAGCAGAGACTTTTGTATTGTACTTTTTGCATTAAATGTTCGTTAATGTATTTATTTGAACATGTGTATAAACAGTTCATTTACATGTTTACACGGTGGGGATTTGTTCATGTGTGTTTGTTCATCGATCAAGACGTATGATTACACCTATATGTTATCAATCATTTATTATACACAAGTTAATTCAGAGGAGACGCTATAACTGCTGACAAATACATTAATAAACACTTAAAAATGTCTTATATCTGCTTACAACTTGTTATTCATTCATTTAGTGTTGTCAGTCTGAGAAATTCAAACTTTGTTTTTTTTTGTTGGAGAAATCTATGCGGTGTGATTTTACTCAGCAGTCTGAGAGTAGACTTACGGTTTGAGCACCTGATCACACCACAGTGCCACAAAAAAGATGTACAACTGTTGTGAAATATGTGTCGTAGGAGCTTTGTCATTATGTATAAGTGTTTGCAAACTACTTCCAAAGTGTCAGTTAGCAATGTCATTAGATCTCTGTCGCTAATGCATTCTCACTGAATGAATTGATTTTGCTGCTAAATATTGTTGTTTTAAATGCTGCTGTTAACAGACTTCTGCTCTTTTTCCAATTAATTTATCTTCCTCTTTTTTTCACATTACCTCTTTTTGTTTTCTTTCCTTCCACACGTTTTGTCTCACATTCTTTTGTTTTCCTCTCTTCACCCTCACACATATCTACTGTCAGTTTGAAACTCACACTGACACTAAACTCAACTTTGACATCATACTACTTACGTAACTATTGTTGTTGCTGCACTCAAATTCAGCTGTTAGTTGTCTTGGATTTTTGTCTTGGTTTGGTGATCTTATCCTCTATGTACAAATCAGTGGCGCAATGCAACTAAGTACATTTACTCAAGTACTGTAAGTCCAATGTTGAGGTACTTTTTTTTTTTTTTTACTATTTCCAATTTGATGTTAGTTTATACTTTTAATTCACAACACTTTGGAAGCCAATGTTGTATTTTTTCAGTCAATACTTGAATGAAATCAACTAATAATTTAAGATATTCTGTATTGTAATTGATTAAACTACCAGCAGTATTCTTGAGTAGTTGAAATTAGCTCCACCTTTATCAGATGCAGCATTATAGATGCTAACACATTAATGTATTACTAACTTTAACTCAGTGTTATTGTCAGGAATGGAAGACAACAGCTAAAACTCGAAACACTAAAGCAAAACACTCAATACTCCAATTCAACTGAAGTATACTGAACTTCTGGCTCTTTACTCCACGAACCTGTAAATCCAACATGTTTTCACTGCACTTCTTGGCCTTTTGGGGGCGCTGACGGGACTGTTTGTTGAGGTCACTGCTGGAATGCGAGGAGGGCAGGTGGAGTGTGTTGTTGTGTAACAATACTGCTCTGAGGTAGGAGGGCCATCATGATATCACCCGCAGGGGGTGTATAAGTAGATGTCCTGGCAAGCAAGTGAACACAAAGCACCTGTTGCAGCTCCTCAGCCTCAACACAGTCAACTGTAAAGACTCATCTACACCTCCTGGAGTGTGTCAACCGACTGCTGCTGCGTTTACACACCAGAACATCAGACACAGGATGAGGACGATGGCTTCTTTCATGTGCAAGACGCTGACTTTATTCTTCATCTGCATGGCTCTGCAAGAGAGTAAGTCACTTTTATTTGGTTTGTGGAATTCTAGATTATTTTTCTTTTAAATATTGTAGATTGTAATGTATATATTTTCTTTCGTTATAAATCGTTTTTGGGCCGCATGCAATTAATTATCAGTTCTTTCTAGGCTGGTTTAGATAAAGGTTTTATGGTTTCAGTATTTCCAAACTAAGCAATGTTATAAGAAATAGTAAAAACAGCGCAAAGTAGTTGTGAACACAAGAGCTGTGTTCAATTTTCCAGGGAATATTTACCTTCAATATGTAACCCACCTTTTATCAAAACGTTATCGCATTGCTGGCACAGGATTATTGATACCACCACTTCCTGCAGGGATGTTTGACTTGGATTAAGTTTATTGATTTTTAATACAGTAAATATGTTCCACCATTAATCACAACCTCATTTGTTTAGCCGCACAAGAGGGTGTTAACCCGCCGAGTGGATTTCTCTGTGTTTACATGTGATAGCCACAAACTGCATGCTGCAGTGTCATACTGCAAAGGATTAGTTGGCACTTTTTAATCTCGGGATTCTTTGTGTTTTTCTAGGTTGTGGACTCCCCTTATCAGAGCGGGCAGAGCTGCCAGCTCAGGCTCCACACCAACACCGAGTCAGGACCAAACGCTGCTCCTGTAACAGCTGGGATGATAAAGAATGCATCTACTTCTGCCACCTGGATATTATCTGGGTCAACACGCCGAGGTGAGGCATCAGAGCACTTCAGGCACACACTCATTTGTTACTAGACTGGGATATGGAGTAAACCCTTCTAATCCTAACCCCATCAGCACTCAGTGACAATTTTGGAACTAATTCCAGATCCCACATGCTTTCTCCAACACTGTCCTAATATGTTTCGTTTTCCTTTACAGTAAGCTCCTTCCTTATGGCCTCGGAAGTCCCCTGTCTCGTCGCCGGCGCCGTTCAGCTGAGCGATGCGAATGCCTCAACACAGCCGACGAAACCTGCTCCGGTTTCTGCCATGAAAGGTAACCACCCTTCCCTAACTTCTTTTAATCTACCTGAACCTACAACAAAGCAAGACTGTCCCATCCAGTAGCCTTCTTTGGATGCTCGATAGTATCAAAGTATGTTGATGTAGAAGATGAGTCAGAGTGGAGGCAAAAGGATTCAGTGTGTGATAATGTTACCACAGTATAGGGGTAGTAGTCATAGCGCAAAGAATGATTTGAGGCCTTGAAAGAAATCACAAAGGTTCATTAGAAATGCTGCTATTTTTAGAACGTTTATCTTACTGCTTTTGCTTCGTCTTTGAGTTATTGCGTTCATGAAACCACCAGTATGGATTAGTCACTGTCTCTAGATGTTATGCTAGGTGGTGTTTTGGACGGCGCCCCCTGCATTCTTGCCCATAAGGCATCTTGAGATATATTAGTTTGGAATTCCAAGGAAATTGCTTACTGGACCTTGAACTTCTTTTGCTTCTATTAACCTAATAATGCCAGACAACATCCTGAGTTTGTAGGGGTTTAATTCCCCTCGGCATTGGGAGTGTTACATGTCCTTGTTTTAATGCTGTTGTTGTATCTCTTCACAGCTCAAAGAATCCAAGGACGAATGTCATGGGCCCATTGGTGGAGTCTGCAAGCACAAACAGCAACAAATTGCTGGAATCTTTCAGGTACGTGAAGAGGGATTTAAAGATCAATTTTAGATCCATATTGTGCTTTGTTGATGGGCTTTTATAGGACATATGAAGCTGACCTGTTTTTCTCTTATTCTTTTTTGCAGATCTGTGGTCAAGTCCAACACTGCGATCGCAAAAGAGGTTCTGTCATCAAACAAGAACCCGGGTGGAGTAAACAGACTGAGCAGCAGAACAAGGAGGTAGAGGACTGAGCCAACACCAGAAGCGGTTCAATCTCCATGGATTCAACCTCCATGTGCCGGAGACTTCTCCAGCTACCTTCAATGCCAGCATCAGGGTTTTGAAACGTGTCAAGAGTCTTACCAACTCTGGGAATGTGAAGGTGGAAGGATGGAAGGGAAAGAGGCAGCGTATGAAGCATCCGATCAACAAAACAGAGCTTCGGAGGACTGGCAGCTCACCGAGACAGGAGCCCTACAGCAAGAACAATGCTGGGTGGAGACGTCTAGAGTTATTTCTTGAACTCTCTTTGAACCTTTTTGAACATAACAACAGATGCCAAGAAACGATCCATTAAAGCCAAGGACTTGGAAGCCGCCGTCTGTCCTTTTGGGGAATCACATCAAGAAAGTTTACAATGACTAATCAGTTGCTGATCCAGGGTTCTTTTGTTTTTATGAGCACGCCTGTGACTCGTCTGATTGGGCAGGTTTAAATCCACAACTCACCTACACTGAGGATTGTAGGATCATTACGCATTCCAAAGTCATATCATCTCTGTATTTAGTTGGGAATTTTTTGTCAATGTTTACTCTTGTGTCCTTGCTATTAATCCGTTATATTCCTCTGTATCAGAGCTGGAATCTGCTGCTCTACCTGGTGTTGAGGGCAAATAAGCAAATTGCTTTTTACTTATCAGGCAGTACTTGAAAATGGCAGCTTGTTCATTCTTGGCACATATGGCCTCAGTGAAATGAAGGTCATCTCTTTGGGATTTATCTCACCAACAATTAGCTTTGTGTACAAGGTCTATTGTAAGCTCCTACACACACACATATTCAGTCAACTTTCTACTAGCATAACAACAACATTAGCTCTATTGTGTTGGCCCAAGTGTTTATTGCATATAGCTCCAGTTTAATGTTTTGATTTAAGATAAGCCAGAAGGTTTCAATGGCTTGCAGCTTGCCAAAAAATGCAACAGTTGTTTTTCTCCCCAGACAAATGTTCACTTAATTCCTCTGTAATTAGTCACTGGGAAACAATGACTCTCGACTTGTGTTATGCACATCAAAAGCTATTTGTCGGTGGCCTGCACTTTTTCTGTGCCATAAATCCATTCACTCCATCCGCCGTTTTTTTGATTGTAGTCAACTCACAGACACATGGAAACATAAACCTTCTTTGTACCTGAAAATATCCATCCTGGAATGTCTCAATGCTGTATGTATATGATGGACAGTTTACCACCTTAGACATTTACTGTTAAATGCTGAATTGTAAATAGAATTTATTTATTCTCTAACTTATTCAGAGATGTATTTATATTTGTATGAATGATGTACTGAATTTTATATGACAAAAATAAAAAAAAACACAAAAGAAATTGTGTAGCAGAATGTTGATTTTATTATTTGACTTTGAGAATGAATTGCTGTGTCACTCACTCCATCTTCAGCTACAAATGGCATGTTCCAGCAAATACTTTGAATTATTTGGGTTCATACTGAACTTCTTCTAGGAACATAGATGCTGACACTGTACACTAAATATGATATCAATTTATCTATTCAATGAACATCGACCCTAATTGTGAAGAACTTCATTCTTGCTGGACTTCTCTGGGTGTAACACCATTGAACATTAGTCCAAAAGGAAACAGATTGGATTTAAAAAAAAGGTCCAATAGTGTCTTCACCTGCAGCAGAAGATTTCAGTGTAGAAATTATATCCAAAACTTTTCCTCATCTGTCATCCAGTAAGAAATTGAAAATGAAGAAAATTAGCTTTTTAGATCATTGAAGGCTTTTAATTATCCAAATTATTTCAGCAAGGCCAGTAAATCCTATAACCTAGTGATGTATACAAAATGTTCTCAAGAGCTGGTTAATAGATGTCTACCTTTATTTAATGTTGGTTGAGGTTTTAATCAAGTTATTAAGTTATTAATCATGAACAGAAGTCCTGATGGACACCTAAAAGCCCCCACACTATAAAGATTCACATCTAATGTGTTTGGTTCAATTGAAACACACTCTGTGGCAGACTGCACAACCGCACCAAGACCTCTTGAAAGCTACAGTCTCCGACTTGGTGCGTTTGTGGTTTGATGGTATTTAATCCATATTAAATCCATGAGTGCAGGGATTGTCCCTGATCAATCAGAAAGTGAACATCAGATTAAAATGCAGTGTGATGTATCCTACTTTCACAGCTCATTAAAGAGGGTAACTGCTGTATATTTCAACCTTAAACCTATTTTAGGGAAAAAGATGCTGACGGCAGCCGCCAAATGGGCTACAATGTAATCAAGCAATTCCGCACCGTCAATTTACTTCGACTAAAAGTGGACCAGATCAAGCGAAAGTTTAAAACGTTTTATCCTTTTCATCATGCTGTCTTTGGCAACATTATGAAAGTGGCAAAAACAAGCACTTTCCGTGGTCGTACACTGACTCAACAGAATTACCCCAACCGATTACACCGCAGCTCATTTGAAAGCTTCGGGCCAGTTTAGCAGCTGCCGACTGAAGCGCTCTGCTCGATAATAAACCAATTTCAAAAAAAGTTGTCCCCATTAGCCACTTAGACACAAACACATGTTGAAAAATACTGAATACTTTATGTTCATTAAAAAGAGCGTGACATTGTGATCCCTGGTGTACAACACGCCTCTTTTCTCTTTTGAGGCTGAGCGGTCACACAAACACATCCTCTGCCAGCTAGCTTACCGCTGACATACAGTTGGTACATTGGCATTTTGGGGTGAATTAACAAAAATTATCCAGCTGTCAAATTTTCCCAAATGGCCAGAGATGAAGATGTGCCCATGTGGGTCCTGATGATGCGCTGATGATGCAGGATCCAATCAATCTGTGTGGTACAGGTGTGAAAGCACCCTATCCTACAGTGTTGCTTTGTTGACGTGGTTATGTCGTCAAATAGCACTGGGAACTGGCTAACGGCTTTTTTTTTTTTTGATGGAATGGAACAGAGTGAAACAAAAACATATGATTGGTTGACAATTCAAGGCGTTATTGGAGCGCTGAAGAAGGCTGAGAGAAGCTCAACTTTCATTTGTAGCGTATCACGCCCGTCACGCAGCGGCAGCTGTCGGCCTTGAGTTCGTAGCTTCGTGTCACCGGCCTCAATTGAAAATGACTTGAAGCCTGTTTGCTGTGTCGCACATAGTGTGAACGCAGAATTAGGCTATTCGTCTGTTTTTTTCCTCCGCTTTCTTTGTCATGGTTCAAAGTTTATAATAATAATTGCCACAAAAAAACAACAATGAATGGTAACATTGCAATTGGTCATAGCTAAATAAATGTTGCTTCTTCAAAGACGACAGTGTAAAATAGGTTGAAAGACAAATCTATGGTTTGAGGTGAACTTTAGAACATAAAAAACATCTTACTACATAAAAGATGTCATGGCCATGGCCGCCTTGTGCATGTTGCTGTCACTAAAATACTCAACCCTGTTCAAGCCTTCACTTCAGCCTCACTGTGCTTCAGGTGTATCAACTTTGAAGTCTATTTAACAATAGAACAGGCAGACGGTTGACATGCTGAAGTATGTGGCTACTACACATAACTTGTCTTTGTACATCGTGTAACGTGCTGTGGTTCTCTCTTCATGGTGTTGAGTCTGTCCACTTGTTGCTCCATACACTGATGTTTACTTTAGATAGGCTGTTCTGCAAGAGGGACGTGAGCGCAGAGAGTGTTTGTTATCGAGGATGTCGGAGACTTCCATTTATCTATAGGACATTACAGGTCAAGTGTTTAAGGAATGACAGATAATAACAGTAAATGGGGAATTAGCACCATTCAAAGTAGGTCACAGGTTAATATGACGGTTTCTTTGCATGTATTTTACGTGCAGTGCAACTGGCTTGTGTTTTTGTAAGACAAGGAGTGGAGGTGTTCAAGGATAAGTGATAATATGCACCTGTCTCTCTATTGCTCAATCTATTGACATTCTAGTTATTTACCCTGACGTCAGCACGAACTCAGACATCCCAGTGGTGTCAAAAAGCTGACTAAGAATGAAAACAGGATGCTTTTTCTGCATTCCTCCCAAATTCCTTTAGCGCAGGAGAGAACCGGGAGCGGAAAAGAAACAAAGGGAAAAACAGGAGCATGTCTGCTGTTTGCTCAAGGAACTGATACGGGCTGGACGGGGGATTGAGATTGCAACCTTAATCACGCTGTTGTCATAACACTAGTTGCATTGTTTTGTTTTGTTTGAGTCCTTATTCCATGTTGTTGCCCCCATGTTTCTCCCTGACATGCTGGCCAGTAGTAAATCATGATTGTGCGATTGTCTCACTAGGCTCCAGCCTGTCGTATTTGCATACACACATTTAGGGTTAGGGAATTCTACTTAATTAAAAAACTTGATTTAGAGACTGTATGGGAATGACTGTGGTGGGGAGCTTTATTTACTTGTGATGAAGTGCAGCTAAGGCTAATGGGAATTTGTGCTTTCTTTGAAAGACTTCAGAGAACATTGAAATTCTTACAAAGAAAACTCTTCAATGTCGCGCAAGGCCACAGCTGTGTGTCTTGTTTGCACTTTTAAATAGACCAAAGGTGAGTTGAGTGTGGCGGTACACGCTGTCTCCCTGTTCAGAAGGGACCAAACTCCTCTCTGAATGCAGGACAGGAACGGGATTGGCAGAGGGTGGTTTAATATTTAATACTCCACACCAGCGACGTCATGCATTTGTGTTCGGTATCCGAAACAACAGGATATCGGTTGACTCATCAGTTGGTAATCTAGTCTACACAGACAATGTCCCAAAAAGGAAACTGTTTTGCATTTCCAGCTGCGAATGCAGACAAACACGTGGAAGTCATGTGATGAGAATTTTTACCCCCGTCACGTATATTTATAAAATTTCCGTGATCATCACCAATGTGCAAAATAAACAAAATAAACAAAGAAAAAACATTCACAATCTCCGAATTTATGGCAAACATAGCAAAAGGTTGCACTTCAATCATAATAAAGCCCAACTTTAATTGACAATTAACTTACGTTTTTTTGCTTACGATGCATACGAGAAGGAGCAGATTACTTTTGGTGGAGATAACATCTAATGTGATGGGAAAAACAAATTCCTGAAACTGTGACAGGATTGTTGTCCTCTGCATGTAGCAAATGACAGCTTTACAATCCATTGTGCACACCAGAACCATCATTTACTACCTTTCAAATCCTTTTTTTTAATGAAATCCTGCAAGGGAATGCTGAAATATGAATTTGAAGTGTTAAAAAGTAAGGAAAGAGCTTCATGTCCTTTCTCAAAACAGACTACCTTTCCCTCAGAACTAAGGGGAGGTCAGATCACTGGCATCCTCACTAGGATTAGGCATTAGAACTTTCTGTATTGCTAATAAAAGATGAAGAAATAGTTTGTGACATTGTCTGCACACAATGAAACTTTGTGGCACATCAACTGTTTTTGTGTTTTCACTTGTACTTGTACAGTTCCAGTCCAAACTGGTTGCGATTACAGTAAAAGCCGGCGTCGGTACATTCCTGCTCTTCCTGGTTTTGTTTGCTGGGACCCTAGTGGCTTCGGGGACAGACTGGGGACAGACTGGCCCTATCAGCACCGCCGGTCCGAAACATGCCCGCTGATACCAAAACATGAAGTCTAGTCATAACCAAACAGCCAGCACCAGCAGGAAGGAAGCAGGCTTGGTCAGGGAGAGAAGGAGACGCTGTTTCACTGCATCAATGGGTGACTTTCAATAGTTTCAAATGTCAAGTGTCACAACTTCAAAGAACTCGCTCACAGTCCAGAGCATAAACAGGGACATAGATGTTTTGAATAGCTGGCATTCCTGGATACTTCCTCACCAAGCTCAAAGGTGAGCGTCATTAAGGAACACAGAGACCATAATCATTCAAAGACAAAAGTGTTTAACAGTATATGCAGTAGTGGGAAATATCCTGTCTGTAATCTTTCTTGCAGAAATGGCCCCCGGACCGCCAGACATTCCTTCTCCTGCTTTAAACAGACATCTGTATTTTTTAATACTCACTGACGTGCCTGTACTGGACGAAATTCTTCACATTATAGTCTAGATAGTCATCTTCATCTGTATGCGGGCACACGTACACCAGATATATAGTGTCTCTGTAAACAGCCACTGTCCTTTGTGCGACACTGCAGATCCAAATCTTAATTTGCCATTCAGACACCTGACGATGTTCATCTGCAACCAGACGTTGTAAATATGCAGCAGGTGAATACGTGATGAATGGTGGCAGATCAGAGTCAAAGAGGACAGAGGGACAGTGTTAATATGCATGTCTACTGGGACCAGATACTGAGATACTACAGACA